ATAATATGGCTGAATAATAATTATGAAGACGAGGTATCTTTAGTCTTTATGACAGTGATTCTTATCCTTTTTTCATTCATGTCACCTTTAGCCACTAGAATTAAACACCGCGTCACCCTAACATCAAAATAATAAATAATCTTAACTGTGTATTTTAGAATAATTCTTGAAATAACAAAAACAATAAAAACAGAAGAAAACAGTAGAACACCTTCAATTTATTAAGATGCATTGTTCAATAAACATTGATATTATAAAGTTTATACTTAAAATTAAAAAAAAAAAAGAGAAAATTTTTTAAAGATTTTTATACTTATTTGTTTTATTTGTATATAATAATACTACATATCTAACGACTGTAAAATAACTAACGACCCCGGTTAAGTCGATAAAAAAATCGATAATACATCGATTTTGCGTTAATAACAATACTGCACATATTCATTGGATCTAAATAATATAAAGATGTAAACTTAAAGGTATGCTATTTACATGACTGTTGTGGTAATAATATGGTTTTATTAAAATTAATTTTTTTCTAATTTTTTTCCTTTTCCTGTGGAGATTTCGTGTCACCCCTACACTGTGTCCATGTCACCCTTGGGTGACATGTCACCCCGGTTGAGAACCACTGCTTTATGATAATAATATTATCATAAAATTATGTATTTAACTACATTAATGACATTAAAACATATATTTACCTGCCAGACATTCATTAAAATCACACTCGTAAACAATGATTATATATTTTTACCTAAACACAATTTTTTCCTTTATAACGCTTTTTACCATAACACACTATCTTCATTAAACATGTCATTTACCTTTAACACGCTTCTTACCTTATTAAGCTTTTTACTTTAACATGATTTTTTCTTTATCACGCTTTTTTCCATTATCACGCTTTCTACCTTAACTCGGTTTTTACCTTAACTCACTTTATACCTAAACACGCTTTTTTCCTTATCCAGCTATCTTATGCATCTTATAGATAACGAATACAATTTACCTTCTATTAGAAATAACATTTTTTGGAATTTATAGAAGGCAAAATGGAATTATTTTAAATTTTTTGTGGAATGAAAAAAATAATTATTTCAACTTCATTAAAATTTAAATAATATCATTCATTTAATTTCTAGTTGTTGGTTTTGAAGGAAACAAATTGCAATTTAATCATTTAATTTTGCTATTCTTTCATGTATTTTTATTTAAAAAAATTTAATGAGAATTTACAGTGAATGGATTTCTATTACTTCAAACTTATTGTGCTACCGTTACCGTTACATACTATAAAGATCTTCACTATGACTACAAACGCTTGTACGTTATTCCAAGTTTTTATAAACTTTTTCAAAATTCATACATTTAAAGTTTTTATTTAAAATAAGTTTATTTTTTGCTATAATTAATACCTATACCTTATATTATAGATAATGGTATAGGTAGTAATTTACATGAGGCTAAAAAGTCAACAACGAATATGATATTTTTACTAAATGATCCGTATTATTTTCTACTAAAATAATGTGCAAAATAGAAAAATTTCATTATGAGAAAAACGGTAAAGAGTAGGGATGGTCAAATTATCGATGATTGAGGCCAATACATCGACTTTTATATTTTGTTAAACCGATATAAATATAGATGATTCTTTTATAAATTCATACGTGCCAACCACGATTTAAGGTATACAGGATACTGATCGTAACCTATAGCAAATGGTTTCCATAATGGTACTATATATAAATTTCTAACCCGGATTTTTATATTTGTACCTAAACACGCTTTTTTCTTTAACAAACTTTTGTTCTTTTACAAGCTTTTTACCTTAACCCGCTTTCTACCTTAACTCGCTTTTTACCTTAACCCGCTTTATACCTAAACACGCTTTTTTCCTTTAACCCGCTTTTTACCTAAATACGCTGTTTACCGCTTCTGGCATTTCGGGTGTTGATTTTGGTAGGTATAGGCAAATTACACGAGGTGTTTTCATTTGTTACGAATGAAGAATATCTGTTAGTCATTACGAACGTAGGCTTAGGTTTTTTTTTTTTTTTGATCAACTGAATAGACCTCTACAGAGATTTATTAATTTCTATGAATGCATTTCATATATGAATTTTACTTGACGCACTCTCTATGCGTTTATTATTTAATGTGTTTTGTCCATAGATTATTTAAATTCGTTTTATTTATTTCAAGTTCGGCGATAATGAAGGAATCGAGGTCATTATCGCCGCAGACGAAACGAAAATATAGGTAAATTATGTCGTTTCGATATTGAAATTATATATTAACAATGGGGAAAAACAATTAAAAAAAACCACATCATTTTTACACATCTTACGTATGATAATAACGCAGATGTCGTAGTGGCTTCAGTATAAATATTGGACCACCACTTAGTTCTATATTATATGGGATTGAATAAAACCGGATGGAGCGCAAAAAGTCGGTTAAACGTGAACTTATATTCATACGAGTATATGAAAAGAAAATTAACGAAATGTATACATCGAGTTAAAATAAATTACGTTTTCAATAGCGGTCGAGCTTTGGGAAATTTCAAAGCAGTCAATTTGTCCGTTACGTGTTGTGTTGATCTGAACATGTAGTACCAAATACTCGGATATTTTTATGACAAAGACCATCAGTGTTGTTCTGATGATCCCATAAATGCAAACGTGTGACGAATGTTTTCAATACCTGAAGATAAAATTAAAAAAATAAGTCTTAAAACATGTTTATTGAAATGTTGGTTTCTGCCAAAGATGAAAACAAAACGCAAGTAACATCAAATAAATGACTGCGATTGGTTTACTGAAGACATTCGATAAATTTACAATGCAGGGTCAATATCATTATACAAAAAATTATAGTTTTCCCGAAGGATGGTTACGGGTTTCGGATGGTGCCCCTTGGCCCTCGGGTTCCTTATTTACGCGTCCGGTCCCGGGGAATAGACGTGCAAGATAACGTGCAAGCGTGAATGTTGCCATCACTCGGGGATGCGGCGAACGACCGGAAAAAGTATATGTACACCGTAACGGAACTGCACTGGTCGTTCCATGCACGACTAAACCGAATTTATTTTTCGCGAGTTTCCATTTCGTTTCGAATAACGCTGGGCGTTGCACACCGGAGGATCGCGTAGAACGGTAATGTAATAACACCGCGGCGCGATTGGCGTAATAAATCGTTACTGTTGTACGATTATTGTTATTATTATTAATTCCTGTCCGAGTGCTGTGCACACCACAGCGGGTGGACTTTTTGTTAGAAAACAATTTTCTCCTTTCTTGCATAGTCGCTCGGTTCGAGGTACTTAAATTATTATTCTATTATGTACACGTTATTATTATTATTATTATTGTATACGTTTCCTAAATCATAAATGTAATAATAATATAATATAATATAATATATAATTTATATTATGTAAAATGCACGCATATACTGTATAGTATACAGTAAACGGATGTGTTTTTTTTTTTTTATCAAGTATTTACTTGCTGATATCGATCGTTTGGTACAAACAGTATTATTAGTTATTAAAATTATTGTTTATAACGAATGAATTATAGGAGATTAATCTCCGTCTTTTATGGGAAAATTAAGTCTAACTCTAATATTAAAAACAATATTCAATAAAAGTGTAACCATGCAAAATTTATATTTCAAACATGAAATTAATTAAGTAGATAGGAATATATCCTCGTAAATATACAAGACCGCATTATAAATGCCATAATGTTGCTGCATGATGCGTGATTTAGTTTTGGCTTAAAGAAGTTCCGGGTTGTTGATTAATCAAGCACTCAAAAGTTTATTACGCGTTTAGTGATCTCTAGTTAAATCGTGTATTAACAAGATTTTACTGCAATCTGTTTATATTATGATATAAACAGAGTACACTAAAATATACTACTAAAATAATATTATAAATAGTATTATACATTTAAAAGTGATCAATTTAAAAAGTCCACATCGGTTACACAAAGTTTATGGGTCGACATTTATTGATGAAAAGTTCAATACGTATAATTAGTTAGTATTATGATTATATTTTTGAAAATAACTATTATATTAATATATTAACCTAACCTTATTGGAATTCTTACGTTGTAGAGATACGCCATAGCAGCGTTTGAAACTTTCTCGCGTGCGCTAAACATAATACGAGATTTTGTTTCAGTCCGTAACGAAGTTTAATAGTTTTTTTGAAAATAAGATTTTCCTTAGCATAAATTCCAAATCTACTTTCGAAATTTTGTGTCATAGCCGTGCATTCATAACCAGCAATGATCAGTACCATTATCCGCTATCCAGATTCTAAAACTATGACTGGTACAAAATATTTAAACATCGAAAGGTTGGCCATTTTTGTTACGTTATTGTAAACCTTACGCTTTTGATTCTCGAAACATTATCACTGAATCAAAAAGTACGCTATATTGTAAAAGTGTGTCTAGTAAACAGGATATACCTTTGATGGTACGTTGTTCCTAAATAGTGCGGCCCAGTGGTGTCGAACCCTGTTTAGGTCAGGTCACGGCCTGACCACATTTTTAAAATAAGTCCGGAAATCAGTGGGGCCAATCTATGGTTTGTAATATTCTGATCTCGCGATTATTCTCGCAAAGAATGCTGTACGGATTCTACTTTGAATTAACTAAATTAAAACACATAATTAAATATTTTGAGGAACGGTACGGTACGGTTTCTAACTAGTATGAATCATGCTTTTTGTAATTTGAGAGCACAAATTATTCTTCTATGCAAAGTAAAAATGTAGGCTTTGTGGCCACTGGGATGCCTGGGGCCGTTGTATTTTTATTTGGCCTGAGTAAAATTTAGAAGTTACGCGCGCACGTTTAAACTATGCTGGGTTCAACGAGTGACCCTTAAAATGTATTTCAACTTATAGAACACGCGATATATACTGGCCACAGATTTACTTTCAATACATACTCCGTAGGGCTTACGATATGCCTTCATCTAAGTTTTTCGTTTGGAAACTGAGTATTTCTTTCTTTTTTCTTCTTTGGATATGTTCTCTAAGCGAAAATAAAAAAGCAAAATAAAATAACTAAATCTTGGAAATTATCGAAATCTTAGAAGTCAATAACGATAATAATTTGTTGATATGAGGATTTAAACGATTTAACGCCAATGTAAGATCAATGTCATCGTATTTAATTATAGTACAGTGAAACCTCTATATAGTGGACAGCCACGGGGAATTAAAAAATGTCCACTATAAGGAGTTGTCCACTATTGAGAAAACCTCTACATAGTGAACACTTATGAGAAATTACTAAATGTCCACTATAGGGAGACACTATAGAGAATTGGTTATACACTGTACATGAAAATATACATTGGAATATTAATTTATTATTTATTATATATTATTATTTATATATTAAAAAATTAGTATAAAAATGCTTATAAAAATGTTCGATGATTATGTACAGTTAAAAAAAATCTGTAATATTTTTTTGTGTACATTTTTTCTGCTCTTCGCAATGAATTTGTAAATTGGCTACCATTGATAATGCGATTTCTTCTTCTTTATTTTTAAAATATGTTTTTAAATTATTTATTGTTTTCCAAACTTCTTCAAACGTTGGATTGTATATCGACTCGTATTCTTCTTCTTCTTGTTCTTCTCCTTCTTCGGGTAAATCGGTTTCTTTTTCACTCAAATTGTCTAGATTACAATTGACTAAATCTGATATTATTAATGTATTGTCTTTTGTAAGGATATTATTATCTATAGAAATATAGTCCTCATTTGCAACAGTACTCGGTACAAGTTCTGAGAATATGTTCAAATTTGTAACATTGTCATGTTCTATTACATACTCTGCTGTATCGGACGAAAAAAATCCCGACTTTTTAAAACAATTTTTGACTGTCTCTGGTTTTATATTAAATAAAGCAGTTAAACAATCTTTAGCTTTTTTACCTCCACGACAAATTTCGTTTTTTAAACACAATGTTTTATCAGGAAGTGCTCGAAAAAATAAACCCGTTTCATCACAATTGAACATATTTTTTGGTTCATAGTCTGAAATTAATGTTTTCAATTTTTAACCAGTTTTCTACAGCACTTGAATCAACAGAGTTACCTTCACCACATATATTTTTAAAAAAAATGTTATGACGTTCTCAGAATTTTTGAAGCTAACCATTTGAAGCTTTAAAACTTTCTAGACATACCTCATTTGCAACTTTTCGTCCTTTTTCTTGGAGCAATGGTCCAGAAACAGGTAAATTATATGAACGGGCTCTACAGAACCATTCAAATGTAACTTTATCTACAAGTGCTCCATCCGATGTTTTCGAAAATGTTCTCCTTATATCTTTATTGCCATTTTCAGCGTAATATTTTTTCAAATTACACGCATCTTGTAAAATGTTATTCACCTGTATTTTTCATTAAATAAGATGTTTTTTAGATAAATTAAAACCGTGACTTGCTTATGCAAAATTTTTCTGCTAGTACACGAAGACTTAAGACTTTCCGTTTCTTTAGTTTTAATAATATTTATTTTTTTTTCTAAGTTCAATCTTTTTCTTTTATTATTATTCATTTTAATGCAGGTACGTGTTTATACAATGTACACAATTAACGACCGAACACATAACCGAACCTTTAGTCATTTTTCGAATAGGAAACCATTAAGGTAAGATGAAATATGGACGAATGTATAAGAGATAAATATGGTATTTTTATTTTTTAAATGTTTTCGATAAGTACATGTATTGTGTCCATTTATGAGAGGTAATTTTTAATTTGGTACTAGCTTATTGTGTCCACGTCCACTATTAGAAGTGTCCACTATTAAGAGGTTATAACTCTTATTATGTGTATACATTTTTGCCGGGGAACTTAGAAGTGTCCACTATTGGGAAGGGTCCACTATTGAGAGGTTTCCATTAATAGAGGTTTCACTGTAATAAAAAGCCACGAAATGAGACGTTTATTCACGAATCATTTCCGATAAGTCAATATTATATACGTGTACAGATTTATCATAGTATATAATCGACTATAAACAGTGGAAATTTGAATCTAACTCAGGTCAAATAATTTATTACTTTATAGACGATCTGGAATATTATTCGACATAATAATTTAGTTTCTCAATAGTAATATATAAAGTAGTTCGTCCTTTTATAATTATCGTTTGACGCACAAGTTACATTGTGATAAATGTACATAATTAATTTAATTCACGTAAATCTGTATTTTTAAATCAACTTGCTATAATGATAAAATCAAAATAAAAGGACTAGACTATCAGGTCGGGTGAGACTCCACGGTCGAGCGGGATTCTTAAATGGGTGAATGGTATTGCTGTATTGGTCTTTTAAATTTGAAGACAATGCACCATTGCTCATGAAAAAACGATTCTGGGTGAAAGAGGTTGATGGAAAAATGGAAGGATTGACCATTACTAGATTTGGACTTTTAATAATCAAACTTTCTAACAAAAAAAGACATCTAAAATGATGGAAAATCGAAAATTTCAAATAGTGTATACAGCACAAACTTCCTTATAATATTTTGAAACTATGAAATGTCTAATCACTAAAATCGTTAAATAAAAATTCGTTGAAATATCCGACAAACTAAAGTACAAACTGAATGATTCGTACCGAAATGGTGTGGTGTAACAACGTAATAGACGCTCAGTTATGGATTAAACTATAATATTTAGACACAGAAAAACAGTATTGTGCTTATGGTTTCACTATTAACATAATATTATTTACATAAATATAATATATATTATAGTTGTAGATCAAGGACAAGTCTGAAAAAAATAATAATAGCAAGTTCGCTCCAGAGATACGTGGAATTAATATGTTAATATTAATTAACATCGTCAGAGCATAAGTGCGTAACTATATAGCCATGATCCATACGTTTTTAGGGTGGAGATTTTCCGACCGTTGCCGCATCCCTGCAGGGCGCAACACTAATCCCCTTTGTCGTTCATAAAACAACATCCCTATCCCTTGCGATCTTACACCAATCACCAACCTGCGAAGGGTGAGAGATATGGAACAATTTCAATAAATCATAGATATTACACGTTTTCACATGGCTTAACCAACTTTTATTAAACCGTTATAAATGAACATTTATTTTTTTATATATAGCCATTTTTTATAAAATAATACAGTATGTTGACTTAATCGGCAAACCTGTTGGTCAAGAATGAATTATTTTAAGTGTCTATATATAAAAAAATAATCTATTATTGATAAACTAGAATTAACACATAGATTATAATTTTATGTTGTGTTTATGTCAACCTCTTGTTAAGACTCTCTTACTCTACATCTAGGTGTAGATACGTATATACATTAAATTTCATTAGGTACTGAGTGGTTATTTTGTGAGAAAAAGTGTTGCACATTACATGGTTATGAAAGTTATTTATTATTTTTCTGATACAGAAGTGGAGGATCGAAGAATAATTATTTTTTGAAAATAAAAATATTCTTTGAAGCTTGAATTCCAAACTTATTAGACATTTTAAGAAATTTGAAAATAAGTTTTGAATGCACTATAATTATTTTATTTTTGATCCAATGAGATAATTTACGAGATTAAGTGGAATAAGTGTTTAAAAAAAACATAATTTTACCCGTTATTCCTCGATCAGAATATAAAACCATAAAAATTATGTTTCCAAAATGGCTGACTAATGACTGGCGCAATGAGAGACGTATTTTAGTAGACAAAAGGGGGGATGGCTCCCTAATGATAGAACTATCAGTGTTGTTTTATGTAATACATACCTGCACACTCATGGAATAGATGAAAAAAAAAAATAACGGATTTGACTATACAAAAATGTATTATGTATTATGTATTATGTATATAACGTCTGCTATAAACAAAAAATTGTGTAGAAATAGAACAGAGGAGTTAGTAAAATAAGTGTATTAGAAAACGAAAAACGTTCGGTGAAATAAAGTGAATTAACCGTATTGTAGACGATTAAATAATTTTGACACATCTTGTTGCTCCGCGGTAAAAACTCTGCACTATTTGTTATGCAGACGTGATGGTACAAAATACAGGATCAGAGGAGTTGTAGATCCTGCGGGCTGAATGTTTTTATGATTCCGGGGATACGCTAAAATCATATTATAATAACAATTAAACGAGTGCGTAAAATATACACGTTATCGTACTGTACATAACATTAAATTATATGCTATAAACATACTATACGCAACGAGTTACGGTTTACAATAAGTAGTTTGGCTGTAGCAGCATCGAACCACGTTAAAAAATAAAATAATATACATGATCATGTGTCCGCGCGTTCCGGTCCAGAGAGTTTTGCTGTTATAACGCGAATTTTCTCTTCTGCACAGAGTTAATATAATTATTATTATTATTTCACTACATAAGCTTATTTACCGCCAAACTACAAATATGTATGAAAATGTATATGTATATGTGTGCGTGTGCGTGTGTGTAACTGTACCTATGTATAAATATGTACTTGTGTGCATACAATTAATATAGATGTAGGTTTTGTATTTTATGAAACTTTGAAACTTACTACCGCATATCCCTTTCTCTTATACTCTCCTCGAATATTACTGACCCAAGTATATGTAAAAATTTTAAATTCGTACGTATTTTATTATTAATCTTTTGAAGTACAAAGGTCCGCCCGCGGCAGTGCCAGCCCTAAAAGGGGGCAAGCGGTGTGATCGCACCGGATCCAAAGCTTGTATGGGGCCCCACAAATTATGTACTACCAATATCAATTTATCTGCAAATAAAAATAATATAAAGTCTCGGTACGTAAATTGCAACCCATGTGGTCGTGTGGTTTTCTCAGGAAACGGGTTGTTATCGTCGTAAATGAAGAAGGGAACGATTACGCGTAGCTTTGAAGTATTGTACGCCCATGCACTTTAAAATTCTTTATCGTCGACGACGTTTTGAAATATAGTTATACTATATATTTAGTTATATAATAACATGAACAAACATAGATTTCTATAAATTATTAATAAATTAATATATATATATATATACATGGGTCCCTGCCCTACTATCTGTGATTAAGACGGCCAGCCATCATGAACGCAGCGCAAGAGTCTAAAAAAAATCAGAAACAAAACAAAATTACGGTTGAACGATGTTATCGATAAATAAAAGCTACTAAATAAAAACTGAAGAAATTATTGATGAACCGGTAAAAAAAGAAAAAAACATTTACCTTTTTTATTGTAAATAACTTACTAAAACCACTTATCCTTATGAAAATAAAAAATAACGTATACTTCAACGTTGTATTTTTATATGATGGCGTAATTTAAACTTTTATCCTTAGCGGAGGGATAAAAAATACATCCATGATATTATCCTTTACTCTTTCTACCTCACCTGTAGTATCATCGCGCATCATAAATTTAACTATCCGATTAATATGAACGGGAAACAAATGTTCGACTACGAAGTGCTCGCAGCAATAGTAAACAACAACATTACCATTTGCCGAAAGGAAACAATATAAATTAATTTCTATTAATTAGTAGTACAGGTACCTTTTTATTATTAAGTACACGGTGAAACTTAAAACCAATATACAGCCAATGGCGTCGAATACTTACTTGAGTTGGTGCATCTGCACCGCCTAAAATCGGTTGGTGGGTACAGGTGACCCAACGTGGGTCTATATAATTTTGAAAAACTGGCACTTAGCAGCCAGTAGGTATTGGGTAGTAGATAGCTACTTAACACGAACGATTATAAATATAAATATTTAGAATATAAAATAAAATTACAAAACGTGTGTTTACACCGTTTACAAAAAAGTAGTTCGGCACCATCGCACACAGTGGTAACATGTATGCAAAAGAAATGTTGAAATGGTTACGGACTATGACTACCACTCGCACGGCTGTTTAAAATTCCAGCGAACAGCAACAGAAATTGAAAACATATTGTTTTCGAGTTTTGGACGCTGATGACGCGTACCGTGGTACACTTACGTTCGATACTACGGATTTCTCTGATCTTCTTCTGGTCCGTGTCGACCACAAATCCGTTTTATCCTCGTGTGCACGAGGGACACTGCGCTGAACAACTATGCATAGGTAGCGGGTTTATTTTTTTATTTAATTTTACGCGCTGCAAGTATCCGCGGTATAGGTAGTGGTATGCGTTTGCCCCGATTTCCACGAGCGAAATTACAGAGGAAAAACAGTACTAACACGTGTGTCCCGTATACGCAGAGATGGAACTAGGAATTTTATGCCTGGGGAAAATGTTAAAATTACGCCCTATGATAGACCAATATTTAAATACTCTTCTTGAGAATTTTTTTCTAGTAATTAATATACAATCATACTTGTTGAGTTTTAACCTAACATCAATATTTAACAAAGTTAAAAATATCAAATTAGTTGTTAATAACTACAAAAATTACCCTCTAAAGTTTTACGCCCGGGAATGAATTTCCGTCTTACACCTTCTAGTTTCGCCCCTGCGTATACGTATTGGAATATCGCACTGGCGGCACCCGGTCACCGTAGCGGCACTTTTGCGCGACTATTAATTAAAGTCATTTAATGTTTTTTCGAGGTTCAATTTCAATTATTTATTATCCGCACTGGACCATTCACTTCAGAACACGTGTTATCGGGGGCCCTGTCGCTCTAATGGAAACCGTAGTGCGGAGCAATGATTGTCGTTACGCGTTGGCAGTGGTGTATTTTCGGAAAGGGGAGAGTCCTGGGTCTCGATCCCACCCCCAGAGAAGAAGAAAGGTTCAAAAGTCATACACGACTTGCTGCGAAGGCGCAGAGAAAGTGAACATTAATTTATATGTGGACGTAATGTTTGAACAAAAATATTTGTATGATATCATATTAAGATTATTAATTCATATCTTATACGTATTTTATATATTATAATAAAATCATTTACTTCTTAGAAAAATGTTAAACCCTAGCTCTCCCCACACAAAAAAATTTAAAATACGCCACTGCACGTAGGTACGCGGTGCCTCGACGCGGAAATAGGATTCGACAAACATCATGCGCGGTCGCCACTGCCGACCCACGTCATAAAGCCCTTCGTCCGCGGTTGTAAGATATCGTTTACACGACGTTGACGAGGAGATCTAACCAGTCGGCTCACCCGCGTATGCTGCCTACCCAACGGCTTCCGTTCACCCGGAGTACATCGAGCGTGACGAGTGAAAAATAAAACAACTACCCGGATAACCGGAACTGTCCATTTAGAAATTCGGTGACCCACGCAGCAAATGTTCACGGAGCAAAATGAAAAGAAAAAAAAAACATCGATAGAGCCAAACATTTCCGAGATTTCGGATACTAGGTGTAAACGGTTTAGCATTCACTCGTGTTCAGTTGATGATTCATATTTATTTTGTCATTAGAAATAGACATGTCCAAGGTTTCGAAACGAAACCATTTTCCCGAATATTATCGGGAAACCGCGGATACAATGGAAAGTAACATCTTTAAAGGTTTAAGTAGATACCGTACTTACGTGTTCGCTAGTGATCTAGTTGCTGCAATAAACTTACATAAGCGTCAGAATCATTTTTCTAACACAATTTCCCGTTAGAAAACGCATTACTGTGGGTCTAATAATTTGCTTTAAACTAATTACCTTGTTGTTGAAGATATACCGTGAATAATAATAATAAAGAAAATAAAAATATATTGCTCGGTTCAAAAATTATAACTTTACGTGTAAATAATTGTTAATATAGTTTTTAGAACATTTTGCCATGTTTATGTCTTTATCGAGTAACAAAAACATATTAACATATTTTAGGAGTACACAATACGGCAGATAAATGGCTTTAGTTTCAAAGTATGTTCAATTTTAAGAAAAATAGTATAGACGCCACGTTTCGGCTAATATTTTAAAATCAATTTTTATTGATAAGTAATAAGCTTCAACAGCAAAGGTTATTAGTCTACATTTTGTAATGTCTCACTAGATTGATCACGAAAGAGTTATGTATGAAAGGATAACAAGAATTAATTATTCTATTCATTTTGATTGTTAGCAATTCGGTAGTGGCTATTCAGTGGCGCATTTATTATATATGCGCCCCGGGGCAAAATAATTTTTCCGCCCTTCCCCTTTATAAAAAAAATACATATATATATAAATAAATTCAAAGCTAAGCAATAAAAAAATTAATTTTATGAAACAAATTATAAATCAGTTGTTTTACGATATTGTATTAGATAATTTTATAGTAATACATATCCTAACGTTAACCTAAATTTTTTTTTTTCAAAGTGAATATTCCTTTCTTAAAAAAATATATATATATATATATTAAATATAGAAAACGGAACACTTATTATAGGCACAATGATTAACAATACATGGTTTTTTATTAGATTATATATATTATATTTATTATTAATTATATATAATAAAATAATCGATAGCTTATAATTTTTTTCTTGACTTTTGAAAAGAAAAATGTTCAATAATATCATTAAAATTAATAGTTTTCGTTAAATCAGCTTAAATGTTGAGGGTTGTTAATTAGTTAAGACGATTTTCTCCCGTTGTTTATCTTAATTAAGTTTTGACCCTTTTTAATGTAGAAAATGATTTTTCCGTTGAACAATTACTTGAAGGTGTACATAAATAGTAGCATCCTAAGAGCAATATCAATACAAGGATATGATTCAACTAAACTATTTTCTTTTATAAATGCTAACATACATTGAACACTTTAGGTACAATTTTACTACTTTTGTAAAATTTTTAAATGTGCCCTAAAGTGAAACTGCGTTTTGTGTACCCGAGTCTTTATTATAAACATTGAACAAAAATATAATATCTTATCGAATAATAAATGTATAATACCTATTTTGCAATTTTACTATTACCTAGGTGACTAGGTATAGTATAATTTTTTTAATTTCTTATTAAATGCTCAACAATATTTTTTAAAATACTTAACAATACTGAAAAAGGTGTGAAAATTAAAAATATCATGAATACATCAATAATAAAAGTTAGAATATTTTGTCGCTCCCAAAAATTTGCCGCCCGGGAAATTTGCCCCCCTTAAATGCGCCACTGTGGCTATTTATAATTGTGTAGTTTATCTTATCACGTAGTTTAATGAATTTTGATTTATAATTCAAAGGAATGAAAAGAAAAGCCGCGTCATGACATCATTAGTCTCGGGCTCACCATAATTGTGTAACATGTACATGTTAAGATCGTTCGATTCACACAATAATTTACGTAAGTTCATTTCAGTTATATTTTTAAATTTTTTTCACCAGCGACGATAGTGGAATCAAAATTTCTATAGCGTTTGGTTGTTTGGTTCATTTAAAATTTTAAAAAACCTGTGACCAAGAATTTTACGAACACTCTGGAAGAATACATTCAAGGTACATAATATATACATAGAAATGCGTAATTAGATAAGATTGTGACAAATTATACTTCTGGGTCATCGATTTCCATGTTCAGATAGATGATTTTAATATTTAAAAATACTTAACACTCGATTGAATTACTGATTCTTCTATTATGTCTAACGCGAAAAAATTAAACAATAAAAAAAAAATCATTTATCTACATATCTATGTATATTAAGGCCATTTAGGAATAGTGATACCCTGGGTTCCCTATTATTTTCACGTAAAAACAAAAAATTTAAATTTAAAACGAAAATGTCATCAGTTTGACTAATAACAACTATCAGTGTAGACTCTAAAAATTATACGTAAAATAAAAAATTATCTAACGCATAATTTCACTTATTTATTCATTAAAATAAAATTATAATTTTACAAATATTTCCTGAATGCGGACACATTTATTGGTAAGATAGGTAATTACGATTTACGATCAGCCCGTCCCAATAGTCATGTAGCTATTATAAAGATCTACAAAAAATTTGATTTTTTTTTTATTGAATATGCAATAAATCATATTTAATAGTTGTACCCACAAAAATACAACACTTATTAATAATTTAAAGAACAATTTTGTTGTTGTTATTTACGGATTTAGTATAGTAATTACTCAAGTTAAGATTAAATTTCGTTATTAATACTATATATCCACCAACAATATTTACCTACAAAATTTACCAATTAAATATATTACGTTTATAATATTCACTCCTCTTCTAAGATTATATACATCAGGATATTGCTAATTATGCGCTAAATACCTAAATTATATTAGTTAATATTATATTTGTTAATTATTAATAAGAATTAATTACGCTTATCACTGGTAATACGTATTTTCTATAATATAAAGTTATTTTAAAAGCGTTTTTTAATGAAACAGTTAAAATATAAGCATTGAGAATAATGTAATTCTTAATTGTAAAAAACATAGTAAATAATTTACTTTATAATGACTATTAATGATTTGATTATTTCTTAGCAGTTATATACAAAACTTTTTTCTATATTTTACCTCTAACAGATTTTCTATTCTTATAGCGCCAGGAATATTAAAATAATTGGATTTTGAAATTTGTCGTTTCCACGGAAAATATAGTAATTTATCAAACGCACTAGATTGTACTGTAGATAAAAATAAATTTTACTATCATACAATTTTTTGAACAATTTTTATAAGAATTAAAAATGTATAAAATATAAAATGTGGAAAAGATTATTTAAGTAGACTTTATGGCAAATTAAAATCTTAATAAAACTCTTAAATATTTTAGAGCAATAATTAGTTCAGATTAGTGTTATATCACGAATAATATCATTCACTAATGTACTTCATGAATCTTATACCATCGGTAGTATGCCTATCTTACTTAATGTGAAAAAATGTGGAAAGTTTAAAATTATGTTAGTTACACTATCTTGTTATAAGATTTACATAAATGTTGACTACAAACAAGATGGAACCACTATATACATAAAATTATTTTATTCTGTCCTTGAATGGATTAATAATACTTACATATTCATGCATTGCCACACTAGTTTATTGCATTTCATAAAATATTTTGGAACTAATTCAAAATATTATTTTATAATCACTTTTAATGTATTGCAATTACAATTTACTTGCAAAGAATAATTATTAATAAGTAATGAGCAATGTGTAATCAATAAGAATATAGATGGTCATGATACATTTTCAAACATAGATTAAAACAAAATATATTATATTATAATATATTATAAAAGACAATTAAAATAGTATTAAATCAATATTTTATAAATAATAAAAACACATAAATAGTGAAAAAAATTAAAATTAATCATCACATTATTCCATTCACAGCTTTTGGTGAGTTTGTGTTTAGTTCCTGCATAGGAAGTAAAGTTGATCGTTTGTAACTTGAGTCTTCAGTATCATGTATTAACGAAGAATGCGAGGAGTATTGCCTGCTGTTTCTATTAACACCATTTGTGTATTTGGCTTCATGTCTACAAAAAATGTATGTTAATAGATGTTATTTTATACAACTATTTTATAAAATTCTATCCGCTAACCTATCTTGAAGTAGTGTTTGTTCCCTGTCATTTGTCTGAACAATGGTTATGACTTTCAGCAATTTAGTAACCGTGTTATCCAAATCAATGACTTGGTCTAAGAGATCAGCATCTGGAGCTCGGAAGTCTTCCAAAAATTCAAAGTCAATGTTTACAGGACTAGTATTATTCATACTTGACTCCAATTGTTGTCTGGCAACTATAGCTTCGGAGAGGTTATTCAAAGATTCACTTTCGGCTGATTGTAAATCACTACAATCTAAAATTTAATTACATTATTATTATTATTATTAATAGTTTTTTTTTTCAATATAAATGAGTAAAAATAAAAAATAAATGACAATGCTATAAAATTTGTAATTTTCATATATCACATATAATTAAATGCATACCATCTAAGGAATCAGTTTGTGATAATAGGTTACCAGTCGACCCATTTCTTTTGTTGATTGGAGTATAGGTTCTTTGTAGTTCTTTCATAGATTCTGATGTATGGAGATGTTTCACTGGAGAACAGAGTGATTTAGGAGAGCAAGGAGATTCTTGTGAATTTTGATTAGCTGAAAAATTTGAGTCAATATAATAATTAATAATGACCAAAAATTATTTATAAATCTAACGAGTGTTTACCGGTTTGGTTTTTATCTATTTTTCCTTTGTGCCAGCTAGTTGGAGCTGACTTTATGGCAGAAACAATAGCTGACATTAGACTTTTAGAGTCAGACTTCTTTAATGAAGCAGTTGGTTGTTCAGAATCACTGCTGCTATCTCCATTAGCATATGCCTCATTGAAGTATACTTCATCCTAAAAATATTATAAAGTAGTTAAGGACTAAAACAATGGATTATAAAATGAATAAACATACTTCAATATCAACTTCTAAAATAGAATAAGACTTGATGAGTTTGTCTAAAAGTGAATCAAGACGATTTCCTAATCCTGAAAGACCAACAACAGCACTTGACATAGTTGCTTCTTGTTGTTGTAACAATTCACGACTTTTATTTTCCATCACACGCATTTTTGCTTGTAATGACAAATTCTCTTGTCTTCGTTGTTCAGATATTCGTACTAAATGTGTACATTGTTCCATAGTTTTAGAAGCTTCTTTTTCTTTTATAGCTAACTGTTCTTTGTAATCTTTGACCTATAATAATAATAATAAAGTATTAATTTAATATAATAACGATATTTATTTATTATAACAATTATTATTATTAAACAATATTAAACTAACTTCTTTTTCTAGTTCTTTGATTGTGTCAGATAGCATGGATTTTTCAGTTTGCAAAAAGTCTTGTATTTCTGTTGACTCCATTTCATATGCTTGATTAGCTTGCAAAAGGGATTTTTGAGCTGCATAGCTTTTTTCCAAATCCTATAAAAGAAATCAAATTTAAATTACATTACAAAATTATTAGGCAAGTTATTATTAATCAAAACAAACCTTATGCAAGGATGTGCACAAAGTCTTAAGATGGGCAAGTTCTTTTTGTTGTTCATTAATAATAGACGAAGTGTTCAATACTTGTTTTTCTAATATTTCTAGAATATTTGAAGGTGATGGATCCAAACAATCTTAATAAAAAAAATAAAAAAATAAATAAAAAAGCTTGATTCTTAAAGCATACAAGATAAAGATATTACCATTGATTTGAAAAATATTACACAATCGAAGACTATAAGCATCAATTTGTCTACAGGTATCCAAATTTTCATGATTCAGTCGTTCCTGTAATTGTTTTAGGCACTTTTGTTGTTCATTAAATTCTTTTATTTTACAGTCTAATTGTTCAGTCTTTTCCTTCAGCTCAGTCTCAATTGTATGGATCTTTTTTTCTACTAAATTAACCTATAAATATAAGTTTAGTGTCCACATTATAGGAAAAACATATTTTTTATTTTGAAAACAGAAATATCCAATATAATTACTATGTTGATCAATTATTTTGTTTAAACGTAAAAGAAAGAAATACCTGTACTTCAGCATCATAAGTTTCAACCCTGTTTTCGACCGGTGGTAACATATTCCCCAATAACACATTTGATATGTCTTCACCAGTCAGGCACGTTTGTGAACAAACTTCATGATATATTTTTGTCTTGAAGGTTACTGGTGGTGGTCTAGTAGCTTTAGGAAGAGTTGGTTTAGCGGGCGACGGTGACAATGAAGCTGTAGAAGAAGCATTCTGCGAGAGTGCACCCTGTTCGATATGCTTTCTTCTCAAACTGGCTGCTCGGTTCAGACTAGGTTCTTTGGGTGGTGTACCAGTATTGGTACTCGATGCAGTGACGGCAAGATTTTCCTTAGACTTTCTCCTACGTCTGGGCAACGTGGCGTACCTGTCTAAAGATTTAACCATGTCATACGTGTTGACTAGCTTTTTAACCGTGGAGATTTTCGACTGTTTGGCCACTGTGTTCAGATCGGTTTTTTTCGGTTCAGTTCTGGACGGACTGCTTCTACTTGTTTCGAAGTGGAAAGACGACGACATGCTATTAGGCAACTTCGGCGGTCGATCAGCCGTTCTGCGCCAAACAGGCGTGGTAGAACTGTAGTTCGTTGCATCGGGGTAACAGGGCAACGAGGATGGTCCACTGCCGCCGCCTGTTTCAGTCGGACTGAACGGACCTAGTGGGCTCTTGCATGGATCATAACAGCCTGACGCCAAACTCGAGTCGCACGATACAGCAGGCGTTACGTCAACGCCGCTGTCACTGCCACAGCAGCCAGCAGTTTCTTCCACGTTCAGGTGTAAAGAAACCTTCCGTCTTTCCTCCTCCGTGATCCCGGAGTCCATGATTAATAAAACTGGTAATTCTGTACATAAAAAATATAAACGCATATATATATATATTATGTATATTAATGTATCATAATTCAGAGAAACATTTAAAATACACGATTAACGAACGATGCATGCACATCCGAACATGCCTACTACAATAATATGAGCGCGTCTAGTTTTCTAACAGCTGATGAGTTCTGCGATTTTCACGGTCGCGGAGTGAGACATCACTATCGCCATCCTGTTGAACAAGGGAGTTGCCACGGCAACTGCCCTTGGGCATTGCTCAACAACATTATCCTGCGTGTAAAACACCACAGCAGCGGCGAGACTACGCGTGTTGTGCGTGTAGGGGTGCACACGTTTTATTATTATGGCGGAACAACATATTTGGCGGGAAACCTCTGTCCCACGCGTTTGTCCGTGAGTCGGTGACGCGTCTGGGGAAATACCAGCAGTTGATGCTTACAACGACTAAAACGAGCATTACAACATTTTAGCCGCTACGATTTATCCCGCGGTCGTTTTTTACATTATTCACAATGAACGGTTTTGTTTTAAATTTCAATGCGTCCCTCAGTTGAGAATGCGGGAAGCATCTATTGTACATCCTAGTGTTGAAGAGAAATAGGTTATCCGAGATACAGCAATGATTCGTATTGTTTAAACGGTGTATTTATTCCTTCGTTTACGGATATGTGGACCGATTGTTTTATCAATGGAACAAGGCAAAAAAGTTCAACGATTGTTCTGTAAAAATTAAAAGGTTTCAATAACACCTACAGCAGCAGCAAGTTACAAGGTTGTTCTCAAGCGCAATTTTACGGGAGGAATAAAAATGTATCTTTAATTTATTCAGTTTCAACTATACATTAAAAAAAAAAAGAAAGTTATTGTTTGAATAAAAAACGTACGATAGATGTATGCACTCTCGACGAAAATAGTATTTTAACTATGAATTCGTAACAAAATAAAATTGTACAACTTAAAGATCTAACTGTACATCAGACTTTACCATCAAGATCAATTTACTCCGAATATAAACACTAAACACATATATTATAATTAAATGCACGCAGTGTAATTTAATCAAAATGTATAAATACACGTACCTCGTATGTAACCCAAGTAAGTACAATATATACCTCTACATTTATTTATATATGGGTTATTAGCACGTGCACACGACGGTATAATATAAACTTTGGTTCCGAATGTAATACTGTCCGACAGAGAAACGTAATACGATAATGAAATATGAGGTCTTCGTCGATATAGACTATTGGAAACTACGAACGCGTTTCGTTCAGTCAATACACTAATACTAGTATATTAATACACGCACGAGAACAATGTCACAACATGTAACACACTTTTGTTGTTGATTTTATTTATTTTGCTAGTTTCAATAAATCACACAGCGCAACAACCTAGGCAATAAGAATATCTTTTTTTCTTTTGCGTAACTACTATATTGATATAGCATATATATATGGGGAAGAGGAAATGGAATTAGATATAATATAGACTTGTGATTTACAATTTACATTGTCATGACGTAAGGGATCGCTGTACAAGTAGAATTAATTTCGACCTCTTTCCTTTACTTTTTTATTTCCGGAAACGTACCCACCCACGCGCAACACTATTGTAATATTATAGTATCACAATATTGATTTGAATTATCGATAAATCGCTAATAATCGTTGACTGTGCGTAATGTGATTTATCGCACAAACCGTGTGTACGGCCACGATACATAAACACTGTTACGCATACCATAAACACACGATGACGATAAAAATAAACAAAAGATGTATTCCTTTCCAGCGTAAGAGAATGAGGAGTCTCGGGAAAACGTATACATACGTAGTGGAGTATAAATAAAGTTTGGCACGTAAATAACCGTACTCTGCCAATACAACGGAATTGATACGCCGAGCTGTCACGTGTCCGATGCTAAATCTCGACAACGTATAACGTGTGGTCATGACCGGGGGATGGTATGGTACTTGAACATCATTTCCGGTATTTACTGTATGCTTTTGACACGCAAAAGTGTAAGTTATTAGAAGCGAGGAACGAGGAAGATCAAAAGGAGAAGAGACGACCAAAATAAGGCAATGAATATAAATATAAATATAATATTTTGTACGTAATAAATACAAATTTTCGGGCTAAACAGTAATTGGATACAAAGGAACGAATCAAACTGAAAAAAAAAAACACCTTTTCATGAAAGGTATCCGACTTGCGGCGTATACTGTAAGCCATTTGATGTACACAGAACATTTAAATGCTATCGAATGGCTGCTTTACGAATATTGAACACATGGCGTACAGTGACCGCAAAATACGAGCACTATCACCAAACAAACATATTGCAATTTGTCATTTGTTGTAAACATGCATCTCATTCGCTTCCCGCCCACAACAACTGAAAAAGAGCGTTTATATCATGCTTACAAATAACATAAATGAATCGTTAACAATGAGTGAAGGGGAAGAGTATAAGTGCTCTATCAGACACGATCCCACGTTTACTATAAAACCGTAGAAATATCATGTAAAAATAATATTGAATAAATAAATGAATACGTTTGTCGAATCAAAACCATTGTGACCTATTTTGGCAGTTCATAGTAAACGTTATACAAAAATAACACAACGATAAAATTAGTAGTTAGCCGTAAAAATAAAAAAACACAGACGTACGTCGACATATCTATACATGGTTAAAAATTATAAGAATCATTAAGAATAACCAGACCGGAAAACTTAAAAAAATCAATAACATAAATATTACAAACTATATTGGTTTTTGTAAATTGTTACAGCACTCAACATTTAAAAAAATATAAGCCACTGTAGGCTAACAAACTATAATATGTACAGATTTTCTTCGCATCCATTGTATTTACTTACTTATTTTCATTAGAAATTTACGTTTAAATCGTATACATGAAACACAATGTGAGGAGTAATGACCTATTATACACGAACCAGATCCGCCTACTGTTTTTCATTTGAATTTAGAATGAAAGTACATATGCGCTCCGTGGGCTAAACAACCGTTCATCGTATATAGGTACATAGGTACGTCATTGATGAATGGCTTTAACAAGTTGGGTACAGACATTTGGTGGGTAGTATATGGTAATGCAATAATCATAGCTTTAGCAAAACGTTTTTCACAAATAAAATCGTTTTTAAAGTTAATTCTGTAGCACACAATGAGAAGAAAAAAAATAACAATTTTATTGATAATTGTACAATAAAGACAAAATTTCGCTGGAAAACTATGGTATGAACGAAGAAAAAATAAGAACGCCATATTATACACTAATGAAACAAAATTACTTTAATTTTTGTACAACTTGTTTAATTGTTGACGCATAAAATAAACGTTATTTTTTTGTAGGCGAATAAAATAGACCGAAAATATTTCACAAAGTCTATGACCTTCCACTTTGACATTCAAGTTTGACCAATGACTCTCGAGAGGATTAAAATTAAAAAAAAAAACCCCTATAACAAAAATCAGATAAACTACTCTCTATACGTATATAACTAAAATTCATTGGGGACCGTTGTGTAGTGTCATTTATTTTGACATATTACAGTGTGTATTATCAATAGAACTGTTTTTTTGAATCTGGACCTGAGCATTATACAGGTTTATGTAAATTTTTTTGAAAACGTCTGAATTTCCTGATAACGATCTTAATAAAATAATATATATTTATATAAGTACTGAGTTAGGTGAACTAAAGCGCAATAAAAGAGAAACGTACCAATTTCATTTTTGTATATCTTGATACTAAATGTTGATGAAAGAGACTATGAAGCAGTAGGGATGTTTATTAGGGTATTTTAATTTTATCGATAGTTTAAATATTAGTCGTGCATTTTTAAAACCAGCAAAATTGTACAAACATAATTACTTTTTTCTACAATGATTAAAAACCAAAACCACCTTTTTACAATAAATTATAAAATACAGTATTCTAAAGAAAGTTGAAGATTTTCAAAACAAATGTTCAAAAATGTTTTATGTGTTTTTCCATAATATCGGCTATGGTATAGGGCGAGTTAATTTTTTTTCAACGCAGATGAAAAAAAAAATAATACGTGACAAATGGTTAACATAACGGAGAAAAACTATTTATTGAAATCGTTTATTTTTCGTAGCAAAAAATAATAATATTATAATTTATCCTCTGTACTAAACAGCTGTGCTTCATATGTGCCGTAGAAGAAAAAAACCGTTAATACGTCGTTCATCAACGATATATGTACATGAAATGATCGAATCCAAGTTCGTGGACAGCGTTTCATTGAAATCTCTGTGAAAATTACATTGTGCATCGAACAATATCAACAATACATGATAATATAGAAAAAATACGCTGTAAACAGATGAGAAGCCAACGACAGCGATTGGATCACAAGGTGTAAAATCGCCAACCGCAGACGCCGACCGTAGTTAATTTCTGCAATGCAATACAATATAAAAAATACGTCCTATGCTCAACGATATCCCCTTGTGAACATGTATTACTTACAACTCGGTATGAATATTATAACGCCTCGTGACTAATATCCACTGTGTGCTGTGGTCTACACGTGTATAACAACAACCATATATTGTTGTTCCGGAGGTCAAACGACTCAATAATAAGAGACGTGCTACAAACAACAGTGACGAAAGCCGCGAGAAATATTTAAAACAGAAACACCTAAAACTGTTTGAGTATATCGGAAGCTATGATTTTCTATTTCTGTCTACCACACATGCAATTATAGATGTATTTTCATTCCAACATACCAATTAATCTTGTAATGCGATAAGAATTTAGGATTTAAATTCGCCATCAAGTCTTCTTTTGGACGACTTTACTAGAATTTAAAATTTTATATGCAATAGGTCGGATAAATTTTACTTTTAACATTTTTTTCAATTTCTAATTTGATTGATTCAATTTAATGGAGTTTAGGAAATCAAAATTAAGACATAAAATATTCACTGTTCCGAAACCCTTAACTACAATAATACGATATGTCACATACCAGATTAATATGATACACAGTATAACAAATGTATTATTTGAAAATAAATTATATAGGTTATTGTATATGTTCATAAAATAACATATATTATTATTATTGTAATTATTCACTATAGATATACGGTATCCGGTGTACAATGCAGCAACGAGATAAGAATGACTGTTGTTTCATACAACTGTTGAGGATAAAATATTTCGATAACATTACTAGTAACTAGTATAAGGTTTAGGTAGTAATGAACGCATTCATAATATGCGCGAAACTGACCGAAGACTTGACACAAACCAAATACCCTGGCAATATTTTGGCATACGCGTGTTAATGCGTGTAGTTGGTAATTTACGATATAGTAAGAGCATTTATATTCCACCATCAATGTAATTTAACCATAACTTGACGCCGGAGGGTTATTATGTTTCGACTAAAATATGAATGTTTTCAAGAGAAACACAAAGAGCAAAAGAAAAAAGATTATTTGGCGGCGGAATAATGTCGTGTTAGTTGCGAGATTCGAGGGAGAGTCGTCCACAATAACTCTGA